TGTTTCAAGAAGAGGGTTCATTGGAGCTCCGTAGTGGATCTGGCAGAAGACGTGATATTGACTCAGACCAGTTTCAACTTATGGGGCAAGGTTATGAGGAAAATTACTGGAGCATTGTCATCTTCAGTGATGCAAACAGTGAAAACTACATAGATGTGCTGAATGACGTCATGAAGATGTGCTAGTGATAACGTTCGTGCAGGACAATTGTCCTATGTGTAATGTTCCATAATTGTGCAAGTGTTTAGTCAGCAATCAGACATACGGATTATTCCTTGGCCAGCGAGATAGGAGAAATAGGATCGATAAAAATGGCGGCTACACTAGTTCTTAAAAGAAAAGACATTGTTGACTATAGGATTAAGCAATTACAAGACCGGGGTAGCTATAATTTATTTAATGGATAAATGTTCAAACTTAGTGTTAGTAGGATAAATTTATTGACTACTTTATAACCAGCGACTGTTATACAGTAATGATTTTAATGTTTTACTAAATATGAGAAATAAAAATAAAAGCAATATTAATATTTACAGATGCTATTGATTGCAAAATAATAAATTATTTATTTATTAATTACTATGAACAATTCGTCCCATATCTAGTGAATGCTATATCCCGGTCTTAGAAATGTTATTGATTTAAGGTCTAGCTTCAATTTCTTCCTTGTTCTGGAACGAATACTTAAGCTATGAGCCTTTGTCATAACATGATGCACAAAATGAATCACTTTAGTCAATACTTTAATTAAATTTTATGGGGAGGTAAAATAGTTGCAGAAGTAAGGTTGCATATTATATAGAATCGTATTATAACATTGTGTTTAAAACTAACTAAGTAATAAATGACTAGCACAACATAATTTTGATTTAAAATACTTATTAATCTTATAAAAAGTGTAATAAATAATGTGTCAGTTAGCTGAAAAGTTATTAGGTAAGAGTATACACTATATAAGAAAGAAATAAATATTATGTTTTAAGAAATAAATGTCTGAAATTATAATGTCACTAAAATAGTTTTATTTGTTATCCTTTATGAGAATTAAACTTAGTATTAGTCTTAATCTGTAAGAAAAATATGTTACTTTTACATTAATAGTTAGCACATATTATAAAAGTTATTTATATATATTTATTAAAATAATTTTATTCTAAAATAATATATTTATTTATTTTTGTTATCTTTTATAAATATTAAACGTCAAATATTTTATTTATATATTATTATTATTGATTTTATATAAAAAATATAAAAAAACCATTGTTAAAAACCTCCCTACCTGAATTTAAAAATGATAACCTGGAATTGAACCGGTGCCCTTCGACTTCATTATACTATCAATCTTATTTACCCGAGCTACCGATCGCATTTTTAATGACATCGAAAATGCGGGTCAGTTTATAACTTTTATTATTGTCTATTATTAATTATTGACGCCATCTTTTAATTGGTTTGCTTGACTTGACTTAGATGGCGCTATATTAAGTCCTCGGAAATGTGAAAATTAACATAATTTATGTGTATTTGAATATAAATATATTATTGTTTCTTTATTATTATTTTAACCATTAAAAACCTTATTGTGTGCCTCTGCAGTGTAAAGTATTCAAGCTTTGCAGGGTTATTTTCATTTAAAAGCAGCGCCATCTAGTTATCAATGGTAGCGTTATGCAAAACCTGTCAGTCAATAGTCGACCTTAAACTCTCCATGCATTTTTGTCACCCTTAGTACCTATCATATTATTTTCTGATTTAATATTGATGTTACATTATTCTCACATTATGATATTAAGTATTGTATTTATTCTTTGCTTGTTTTCCGCCAGAACAGTTTATAAAGAGCAACACTTAGTTGAAACACCGGCTGCATATAAACTTCTTTTTTAATGAATGACATTCATTCATGTCATTAAGCGACCGTGGCCCACGTGCTTCTGTATGCACCTATTATTTATTGATACAACCTTGAACCCGATTCTCTGCTATCTCCGCTTGTACACGATACATTTTGATTTAATTAGATAGTACTCAATTTAACGTTATATATGAATAATTTAAACTTCAATGCCCCTGAACTCCTAGATGATCCTTGTAATATTTATTTAAATTACGTAATGCGTTATCAAATTATTCTTAATAGCCTGTAGTTTTAATAATATTAATTATATCATTAGTATTCAGCTCAATCGTTTTCGATTCTCGATTCGTCAAAATGATAATCTCTCGACGAGTCACATTATGTATCTCCAAAAATACTTCTCCACTAGGGGGCCACCGCTCCGAATACTTGTCGGTCTGTATTCCGATTTTCCCCTTTACTTTTAAATTGAAATTTTCGAACCTTCTCCTGACAATAACTAACACAAAAGATTGACAGACACACAATAGTTGATTCAAAATTGGCCCAGGCGTTGTTGATTTGTACGCTTACCAATAAATACTATATGCGTATGATTTTTGTGTTTTAATTCCGACATGATACAAGGGCAAATGAACACTTTCGTTATAATACTTTGTATTAGTAAAGAATATAGGCTTCACAGAATAATACAGACCTAAATGGCTAAAAATATACGTAACACATATAACGCATTGTACGCATTTCTTCCTCGTTTATTACGAGTAATTAACAAATTTCAAATTACGATTGAAACATGGCGTTGATTTTGACCTACTTTCTGAACTAAAAATTATCGTCATAATTACTTTAGGCCTAGTTTACTTTTAAATCAAGTTAATTAAACAAATTACTTTGTTGCAAATGTACGATTATATAGGTAAGTACATATGTATCTATAATTAATTCACTTTGTCTGTTTGATTGTAATTACAAACTTACGTAACGTGATTTTGCATATAGTTGCTAAATACTTTTGTTAGTTGATATACACAATCTTTTTATTTATTTATTCAATATAGATTAATATAGGTATAATATCTGCGTTCCTCGATGTAGAAAATATGTTGAAATTATAATACATAACGTATTTAACATATGTATCATGACAAGATAGCGAAAATTAATTCTTGGTTTGTGAACTTTGGATTTTGATTCTGCGTATTTGAACTTCAAAAATGTATTTTTAAAACGAATACACTGAATATCATTAATTATTGAGCTATGATTGGCTATGATGACATTGTCTACAGCTGTGCCTTAAGACAAATGTGTTTTTTAACTCGATCCTAACGACATTACAATTATTTTTCTTCGGATATGACAACATGAATTTTTTTCCTTGTTGATACGGGATGGGCCAAGAGGGAGAGATTGTTCAGACACTGAATAAAAAACAACACTTTTGTGTCGCTTGCTCAGTTCCAGTTCGTGATACATCATTGTGCATATATTTGAGGCTTCAACAGGGCATTGGCCTCAATCAGATGGTCTATATGGCGCGCGTGGCAGGCAACACGCCTTACGCTCAGATCTGGTTCTGGTTGGGTTATCCTTGCTCCCTGTCCACAGAGCCGCGTTGGCGGTTGTCAAAAATCGTTAAGCGCTTCTCTATGCTGGCTGCAGCTTGAGGGTTCTTTTCTTCATGCGTCGTCTTCTAAGCTTGCATACCTGCTTCGCAGAAGGAGGCCTCTTACTTCCTTTTTTTGCGCCGCAACAAGGCCAAGTGTGGCAGGTCGCCGCCGGCTATTACTTTCCAGGTGACACGACCATGTTCAGCCCAGTCAGGGCACACCACCACTCTATGCTCTACCACGCCCACCGAGTGTTCCGCGCTACGACTCAATGACTCAACGAAACTTGTTATACAGCTTGTCGAATCTCATGTGAATGTCAGTGTCAATCTTATACATTGAGTTTTATTCACACCATAATGTTTTTAAAATAGTGACGGCTTCCTTGAATAGTGCGTAGCGTAACGCGCTCGCCTCAAAAAACCAATAGATTACCACAGACAGGGCTCTTTAGGGATGATGTTCAGCCCGGGTTGGGGCAAGCGCAATAAGGCACCGCGGCTTCGGTCCAGAGAAGGAGAAGAAACGGGGGTGTTTTAGTCAGAAAGAGTCTGACACTCTCTCTCTCTCTCTCCTGTGAACCTAACCCTGGGAGATTTTCATGGGATGATTTTCCCCTCCCAAAAAGGGGTACTAACAATTCTCTTGCAAAAAAAACCAGTAGCTTAAAGACATTCAGAATTCTAGATATTATATTCAAAATGGATCTAATTACAATTTTTGATTACAACAGATCTACTTTCAAAAATATGTTAATAACTTAGACTTAGTGTAGAATAATTAAGGCAATATAACGCATTTTAAATTCCGTCATGTTAATAAAATTCTTAAACTAGACTTCGAGCAGCAATAGTGGTCCTTCAATCGGGGTTGAGTAATTTAGTACAAAAAAATATGCCCAGTTTTTATGGCAATACGGATATTTTAACACCTTTTTAAATCTAAAACTTATTTGTCTGATAAAAAATGTCTAAAATATACCAAGAGGCACAACTTTTTTTAAATTTTCGTTTGTGGTGAACAATCTCAAACACGGCCGGACAAGTTTTATTCTTGTTGTATTTAAATATGTGACTCAATTGTTTTTTATTATTTAATAGCTACTCTCACGCGGTTTCACTCGCTGCTCGGCGCCATTTGATCGTAACGTAGTGATGTTTTATAGCATATAGCACCCAGGAACATTATAGCTAAGAATTTTGGCATTCCGACCAGCTGTTTCAAAGGTTACCCCCTACATACAAACTTACAAACTTTTACCCCTCTATAATATTAGTATAGACTGCCCCTGTTTCGCACGGGTCTCCAACATCACGCAAAAGGCAGCCTATTTCTCAACTCTCCCCTCTAATTTCCAAACGTTTTCTTTCATAAGAACCTTCTCCTGACATTAAAATACATAACAAAAAATATTTGGTTAAATTGGTCCAGGAGTTGTTGAGTTATGCGCTTCTAAACACATTTTGCTATTCATTTTTATGTATATATAGATTAAAGAAGTATCAATGCTACAAAATATAACTTACTTTACCACAGCTAGGCTCCTTTTGATGACCAAAGGGAACTGCACTTCCTAGCAGGCAATTCTGAAATCAAGACAACGTCAAAATCAGCTTTGGGTTTTTCAGTTGAACAATTTTAAACGTTTACTTTTCACTACTTAAAATATACCTAAGTCTATTCAAACAAAAAAGCTACAATAGTCTGAAAACGCATTTATAAACGCTTTTGGTGTTGCATGTGTGTGAAGCAAAATGGCTGCTCATAAGCCACCTTAAAAAAATTATAATCATAACCTTATAGTGGTTTTAAAATGACGCCCAGGTTAAAGCAGCGGTCCCTTATTCCGCTTGCCCCTAACCCCGGCTGAACATTGTCCATGTTGAACCCCATAGTATTTGTGGTGGTCTATTTGGTCATACCACCTATAGGTATGACTTTTACTTAAAAATACACTTAAAGTTTAGGTATACAAATATGGACATGTAAAGTAAAATGATATATGAAAGACACGTTGAAAATATCAATGTATAAGTATTATTTCTCCTCACAAAAATTAATAAATAAAGGTATCTTTATAATAAACACGCTGTTTACAAACAGCTTTAAAAATGAACGTAATATTATGCATACCTACAGTCCCCAGTTATACGTATCTATCTCTAAAAATTTTAATCTAATGATCGAAAAGGTCACACTTGAATATTTTTAAGGAAATACCAATCAGTTATCAGTTGTCGTTTTATTTTTTGAAATGTATATGCTTACAGCAAACGATATATATCACGACCATACCCGGAACTATAGTTTGTGAATCACTTAAAGAATTTATTACTGAATGTTTACCTGCATAAATAGTGATGTGTTATGTTGGTAAACTATTATGTACATATGTAGAGGTATTACTAATAACTAAACGTAGGTAACTGATTGACAAACAATGGGGTCATGAGCTTACTACGATGCTGGCTATATGGCACAGCAGCTGTAGACGAAAGCTATTCCCTACATACTTTTTCCAAGTAACCCTGCATCCGACAGCGACTGCCTTCAATCTGACGGAAAGTCTATCTAATAGAAAACGTGCATCTAATAGAAATTCGTAGTGCCAAGAACGAAACGACAACAAAGGCATTATTTTCAAATTTAATGGAGGTAATACAATTTATTATTCTCCCTTCCGGACAAAGGCTTCACCTTGAAGAAGAAGAAAAAAAAATGTTGATGTCATCACCTGATTTTAATAAAGAAGTGGAAGTTGAAACATTAGGAAGTAGGAACCTAATCTATAACTCCTACGTCGCTACTATATTCTTAGAATCGTGTAACGCGTATGTTCAAGGCGAGAGTGAACAGGCATTTTCTAAGTAAACAATATCTTATAATAAGGCAAAACTTAATTAGTTTGATTGGTGTTTCACCCTCGACCTCTTTGTCATTCACCATCAGGTGAAACAGAGGTTACCAACAATCTAATTCCGTGTAAAAAATTAATAATTATTGTTGTTTAGTAATTCGACCTTCAAATTATAATATACCACCTTATATTTAGCCTCACCTTTTCAAAAATCAAAGCTATAAAAGCAGACTTTTTTATTTTGGACTATTATGCAAGTCTGTGGTAACTAACTGGAAACAATTATATATTCTAATGATGTTATTAAACACTAAGTTCGAGATGCCTAATGTTTTTACAACATGATTTTCTAAAAACCTAAATTCACATTAGAAATCTAGATGGCCGCGAATTCAAAGAAATTTACTTTATAAATGGTCGCTGATTAAATCTGGATCGGAAATATGTCCCACTTACATCACGTTGTTACTGTAACTTATCTAAACAACAATCAATACCATAACATTGTGCGTAAAATTATGTGTCAGTGTTGCCACATTATGGCACATAACCTCGTTATTAACTACACTTCAATTTTTCTCTCTAGTTCATGACAATGCTTTTTGAAACATTACAATATTAATAACGCTTAGTTCTATAATTAATGTAAGTAATTTATTTATACCCTGGGGTAGAACAACCTTTTTTCTTGTTATACTCTTTATAGATCTGAATAAAACCTCTTTGTTCCGTCTCAATAGTTTCCCAGTAGTTAGGTAGTATTCCGGTATAAACATTTTCCTTATTAAAATCTTCCACAATTTTGTCTTTATGTAATAAAAACACTTCTCTATATGAATAAAAATCGTGCTCGAGCTTTATGACGACGAAAAGCTTCAAGATACTTTTACCTACTCGATGTAGTTTCCAAAATAAAACAATACTTTTTAAAGGAACAGCCATATCCGTGTAAGTATTATATATTATTATAAAAAAAACGTAGTGTACAATTTTCATGTATTGAGGTTGAAACAATTGTAAGGCCAAAAGACTGTTTAAAATATACTGTACAGAAGCGTTTTCAATACAAAAAAACTAACTTTCATTAAGGAACCGTTTATAGGTAACTCAACAAAGAAACATAAGAATAAGTAAGAAACGTGATAGCAATTAAGCTATAATTGCAAGTAACATTATCTTATTAAACACTGCTCTTATTTCTTATTTTTATGGTACCTACAAGTGGGCAAAGGATCAAACGACGACAACGGATACCTACAGATTCCCGGAACACTAAAAGTCTGTTTCGTTATCTTCATACGAGTAAAAGTTCCCGATGTTGATGACAGAATGGCAACTGCGCAGGTTACCTGATGGCAACCAAAAGATGCTGCTCATGGACTCGTAACATCAGAGGAGTAAGGAGGATCTTACCGGCCTTTTGACTAGAGAAAAAAGGATTCTAGAGCTCTTGTAACCTCACTCATACAGCGAAACACAAGACTGTCGGTTTTCTGTGAGGCCGTGGTACAACGCAGGTCGAGCCAATCAATTCTGTCAAAGCTTGACTCTCCCGCGCTTGATGAAAAAATGTGCCACATAGCATATATAAATTACGTTATACATTCTTTATCTGGTACATAAGGGCTAATTTAGACTGGAAGTAACAGATGCCTTAAAAAATCAACACAATTTTTTATGTCTCTTGGCCTTTTAAAGTAATTATTTTGTACCTAGACTATTTTAATAAAAATGTTAACATAATAAGCTGATGTTTTCTTGTCAGTTACACTCTGTTTTCCTGAATAAGTAGGTCACAACCTAACTACGCGCTTAAGTATTGAGTATTTTTTTTCAATCCTATCGAATTGTTCGCAAAGTGGCAATTAATAATTAAGTTTCTTCAAAATCGTTACGGGAAACAATTATTGTGTCATAAAACATTGTTTGATCGACCAACGTAATTATAAGAAAACCTTTTCTGTAAATGCACATGTGTTTTAATACTTTTAATTAAAACTACAAAGTAGTGGTGTTTCGTTGTACAGCTCTACTTAAATTATTAAGCGATTGAATTAGGAAATAAATTATTTCTTCAAATTGGAAGTTAAAGAATTTATAGATAGTGTTAGAAAAGTCCGGGGTTACAGATTCAAGTCAATAATGTATCGCAGTCTTGACCTGAAGCAAAAGATAGAACGGGGCGGTTTTAGGCCAGTAAGAGCAAAAAGTAAAGCCGACACTCTCGCCCAACTAGCGCAAAATACATTAAATGATTTTCCCCACTTAGTAAAAAGCGTTTTCTTATGATATAATGACAATAGTATAAGTGTGTATTTCTTTGTAAATTAATTTCCCCAGCAAACATAATGGTTTCATAAAAAACAGCGGTTCATTACCTAATATATCATAAACATATATCTATAATACATATAATATAACTATAGAAAGCTAGCTGCTAACTGGGGCAAAGGAAAATAGAGCACAAAAAAGAAAATAATACATCCTTATAGCTCCTGTTACAAAAATTAATCTACAAAACCCCCGAACGTGACGTCATAGAAAAATTAAAAACAAACACACACTCTCGCATTAAAAAAATGACAGTTTGGATTTACCGACCTACGTAAGCACCTTTTAAAACAGGTTTTACAAGTAACCTTGTGCTAAAGTACACGCGCCTATTGCAAACAGGTACCGGCCTATATGTATAGGAAATATTGAGTATTTATAAAGTAGTCAACCGCACATTTTGCACGCTTCAATGAAGTTCTTTCTCATCGAGTTACCTTACTTCACGTAACAGAAGAACATTGTGGCTATCAGGATTTTGACATACGAAAGATGAGACGAAGATGGACAAGTGAAATGAAAGTTTATTTCAATGAAAAGAACGATTCAAATTTGAAAGCATAGTTTGCTATTTGTAGGTCCATTTTAAGAGAGACATTCTAAAGACTGTAAAGGGCAAATCGTCCGTTGGGGTCTAGACTATGGCATTCAACGCGTTTAGCCAATGATCGTAGCTATAGACTATCCCGTCAATTCCATTATAAGCAATATAAAAATAATTTCATTATCATCAACCTATAAATATCCACTGCTATGCAAAGGCCTCTTCCGATGCGAAGGTTTGAGCATGAATCACCATGCTTGGCGGATTGGCGATTTCAAACTTATAATTAGAAATTTCAGGTTTTCTCACGATGTTTTCCTTCTACGGTTATCAGTAGTGTCTAAATTTAAATTTAAAAAATAGGTACCTACATATAACTCGGAAAATGTCGCATTGGTACTTGTTGTCAGGTTTCAAAACCCTTGATCGTAACCTCCGGGCCACAACGATATAATTTTCATTATATTTTAAACTCCAGTTGCCAAATATTTCAATAATATCAATGAAAATTTTTGCAATTTTGATTTGAAAGGGGGTTACATGTAATTTACATGAATTTTACGAAACTTTTTTCGAAAAGCGTATTTTTATCACCTCATCAGCTATTTAGTATTCGAATTATACTAAGTATATTATGTAAACAAATGTATTCAATACTTCTTAAAAAAGTAATAGAACCTTGATGTTAAGACAAAGAAACAAAGCCATCTTATTGTTGACTAAATATAGATATACTTATTAAATAAGTTTCCTGAATCAAAATACGGTCATAGAACTCGCTAAAATTCTAGAAGGAGCTACTTTTAATAGCATTTTTGAATTGCTGTCGGTCGTTCCGTATCTTGTCTAAAAAACATTTATGGAAACATCTACCTACTTAGGCATGTTCACATATTTTTTTTATAATGAAGCCTTGAAAATTTGTCTAGGAAGTAAACCCGTTATGCTTACTTTGCAAACTTATGCTTAGGTACTTATTAAGAAGTTCGCTTCGCACTTTATATAAAATTATAATATTCATATGGTTATTATAATGATTATAGTTATGATCCGTAGAACCCGTCTAGCTATTGTTAGAATATAATTCTGCAATTAATTGTATTGACACGCGCTGTAAATACCTATTCATAACTCTCGTTTGTTTTTCTATTGAAGATTTTATCTAGGTACCTATTGTAAATACATATAAGATTTAAAATTACTTGAGTACCTATTTATGTAAACTACTACTACTGCTAATTTTCTTGAGGGGTTGTCTTTTTATATTTGCTAGTTTTCAATTAGGTACCTACCTACCTTAATACTACCTATGCTTAAGTACCTATTTTTCGTGTAAGTACCTCTTTTTTTGGACTCTTTGTACGAAAAAAAACTGATGCAGTACTGATATCGCAATCCCACAAATTTTATATAGGTACCTAAAATCAATTTTGTTGATACATTTTAAAGCTAACTCGGATAAACGCTGGAAATCATGCGAAAAACCATGGCTGTAGAGTGACCCTGATATTTGGGTACCTATAAACATGAATATTCAAATGAGTTGGATTGTCGGTGTACGCTATGGGCTCTCGTCTGATCTCGAGTCGACGGGCGGGGGCGGGCGCGGGCTATATTGACACTACAAACCGGTGCGGGCGTGCTGTTGATTCATGCGTGTTACGGAGTCACGCTAGTAGACCTCGTTTAAAATTATGTAAGAAACATAAACGCATTTTCGTAATGTACCTATATGTATCCAAAATTGCAACATTTGGGACACCGACATTGTTGGTACTCACTAAATCATATGTACTTATCTAATTATCACTCTTTTACGTATTAAGTATGTTTTCCTCAAACATAACACGTTTATAAAGTTTTTATTGCTTTGATGTCTCGTTAATATTTTAGCGAGTTTTAAGTGTCACAACAAACAATTCAGACTTTTCATATTAAAAAGAATTATCATCGTATGTTTTATTGGCAAACTTTTACTTCATCGTATTGTATAATTACGAATAATTACAGATGCGATGCGCAAGGTTGTCCAGCATTTATGGACCGAAGGCATTTTGATTACTTCTTACATCGAAACGCGTATTGGATAACTATCTTCGAAGTTGAGATAAATATTTGGGTCATTGTTAAAAAAACTATGTCATAATCTATAGTACAGAAAAGTTAGCGTTCCGATTAATGTGTACCGCGCTGCCTGGCTAATATACATAAACGATAAATCTACGCAACGTATTTGGAGATTGGTAATAGGTATTATACGTACCTAACTACTGTTTTATTCAAAAACATTTTACTTTTTCAAGGTCTTCTAAAGATTATGAGAGATTTTTTATTACATTATTCAAAAATATTTTAATTTTTTATTCAATCTTGGTTGCCAAATCTTTTTGGTTTGGATCTGTGCTGTGTTCATTCAGTCTAGATTATAATTGCCTATAAGGATTCCAAAATAATAAAATTATTACGTTCGCATTGAGCCAAAGAGCCTGCTTACTTTAATAAATACTTTACTATGCCTATAAAACTTATTTCTTTACACATAATGTTAGCATAACATAATATTATGTTGATTTAAATATGTTTGGCTTTCCGTGTGGACTTTTGTATTTGTTAGATATTTACTGATGTTTAAGAATATTTATTTATTAATTGACAGACCAATCAGGCTTGGGTATCGTGAGTTGGGTACTTAGAGGTTAATGTACAAGTAAACTTGTTAAGAATCTAAATACACGCCTACTTACCTCTATTTATTAACAAAGTTTGAAGTAATGATTTTGTAACGCCGGTGTTTCTGTCCTCCTTAGAGGAAAAGAGGCTAAAATCCAGTAAGATTCATATGAACAAATTTTTGAAAAAACTCGATAGTTGTGAAATAATTGTTTTTTTTTTTCTAAAAAAGAAGGCGATGTTTGGCCTTGTGACTTGAGCAATAGTTTTTCAACAACCGCAATACTGTCAACCATATTAATATTGATTTTGAAAAATGTGCAAAGAAAGATGCTCTTTCTCACTTTTGACCCGCTTTACTTCGAATGTGTTTACATAATTATGTGACCAACGCCGATAAGTACCTTGAATCACCAAAACTTTATTGCCTAAGTTAGGCAGTGTTTTATGTAAACATTTGTCTTGAGTACGAGGCTTTTCTAATCAACTTTTAAAGTTTTAGTTTTTCTGAAGTAGTTACGTACAGATTTATTAACCATAGACAAAGTTTGAATTGTTTTAACTTTTTTACGTTTATTCATTTGTGATGGTATAGCAACTCATTACTATATGTAGGAGCTCTATAGTCCAACAGACATCAGTCAAAACTTTAACATTCCAAATTCGAATTAACAGTTAGAAAATAGTCGGTTTACAAATTTAATATTTATGGAAAAAAACACGAATCCTGTTTTAACTTTTATTAGGACGCCGTAGCAAGCTCATAATAAAAAATGGATTTTGCCGCGTTGTAATAAAATTTCCACTTATTACAAAGGTGCGTAAGTATCTTAAGTGCGTAGTTAACTTTTTTATGATCACTTAATAGCGTTTTAATAAACGATGGTAGGTAACTAAGACACGTGCATCTGCAATTATTTTTAATTAATATGCCATCAGACACTTTAAGTAAATCTTGTGTGAAACTACAATTGAAGTTTTTCGCTAAATATGTGTTATTATTATTTTTTATATTTACGAATTAATTGTAAACACTTTCCTAAAAGTAAATATAATAATTCGCACTATTTTTTTGTTATATGTCGTCCTTATTTAAGGGCCGTAGAATAAAAAAAAATCCAAATATTTATTAATTTTTACTTTTAAATAAAAATAATTCACTGGCAATTATTACCATTTAAAAAAAAGATAATCGTGAAAAAAATACTTACGTTGAGACGTTTTGGCGCGTAAGTAAATCCGCCAGGGGCCGCTGCAGCGTGCTCGACGACGCACAAACGCGTTATGACCAGCCCTGCGGTTGGCGCCCGCGTCTTCTACTATCATTACAGATACTGTGCAATAATGTTACTGGCATATACCAAAATCTGCCATTCTTCAAACATATTTTTATTCATCAATTCTGAATTAGCGCAACTTAGTAATGTCAACTTTAATGCGCCTGCGGAATTTTAATTAATCTATGCCTATATCTACGCACTTTTATATCGGCCATAAACTCCAAAAAAAAAAAAAAAAACTTTTATATCGTGTTCATCTAAAGTGTGTATCCACGTTTATATAACATCTGTTTTATGTAAAACTGTGCTTATTAAAACTCTATAATTATATATCTTACTATAAAAAATGCATGTGTATATAGGAGACTGTACCTGTACTGAATTAGATGCGTAAAGTTTTTAATGCGTAGCCTGTAGGTACTGCAAATGTTTAAATTTTTACGCGTGTTGAGTTTATTCACTGTCATCTTGGTCCTTGTAGTGTTTGCGGTCGAATTGTAAAATGTCTGTAAGTCTGAATTGAACTGTATTCTTGTAAAACATTATTATAGTCGACACGTACGAAGGACAATATTTATCGCGTTATAAACTAGAGTGAATGGATTACTTAATTGACTTAATTCCCTCTTGATTACGTTTCTGCTTTATTTACTTAGGTAGTGTTTCATAAAAAAAAACATTTGTTTTTCACATAATTCTATGTACGTACTTATAACAATAGCACGTGAGAAATGAGAATCCAGTGCTGAAGTTTGAGTTTTCCTTAATCTATAATGACAGGATCGATCTCTATTTTTGATAGAAACTTCATACGCTATCAAAACTGAAGTTAATGCAGAGAATTTGGCTTAAGATTGATTTTAAAGTCAAAGTCAAAATCATTTATTCAAACTAAACCATAAATAGGTACTTTTGAAACGTCAAAATAGAAAAGTAGTCTGTCAGTCTGTTCGTCAGTGAAGCTAGGTGCTCATTCCAAATTGTAGATTCGAATGGAGAACAACGAGTAAGAAACTCCATCGTTACTCTTTTTAAAATAGACGTCTTCCAATTTAAAAAATAAAATTGTAATTTCGACCGTAAGCAATAATAAACCTTAAGTTTGTTTCACTTGTAGGCTCTTTATTTTAATGGAGCATTTTAATCTGTTACAATTTCTGGCTAGGATCTACGTAGATACAAATATGAAAACACTGAAATACTGAACTTCGGTACACCTAGGAACATGAATGTATGAATTTGTCAGCCTTAAATAAATATTAAGGTAAGTAATGGAGACACTTCTTCGAAATCCCAGGAGGAGATATTTTTGTCTAGATATCCTAGGACATGTTATGTAGGCACCTACTTAGCTTTTACCTAAGTAAATGCTCAGTAGGATTTTTCATTTCGAATTAATAAAAGAAAGCTAAGCTGCTACTAAAGTTAGGTAGTATCGCTACTACTTATGTCACGACCGAGATGTACTAACATAAAGTAGGAAATAGTTTTTATTATTTGTGTTCATGACAATAAAGAAACATGTTTACCGTGATCTATCCTCGCACTTCAAAATAAAGTTAGGTAAGGTTTAGTCGTCTAGTGCTAATGTCGTTACATCACAAGGTCTCTGTACCGACACAATCTCGCACCAGGAAAGTGTCTTTTTAAGAAAATTCTCAAACAGTTTTGTTATAAGCGGTGAAGGTAATCTAGAATTGTGTTAGCTTTTAACTAGCTTTATGGTTCATTAATTATATTCTAAACTAGTGCATATATACAAATCAACTCTGGTGACCCAATTGTTTTGGGTCTGCGTGATTGATGATTTTCCCCTCACAAAAAAAAACACACACATACTTACACACCCGTATGTGTGTGTTTTTTGTGAGGGGAAAATCATCAAATGACTTCTCCCGCCCAGGGCCGGGCGGGAGGGAGTGTCAGACTCTTACTGACTAAAAACCCCCCTGTTCCTTCTCCTGCTCTGGGCCGAGGTCGGGGTGCCTCATTACGCTTACCCCGCAATCCCGGCTGATGTAAGTATGTGTGTGGAATTGTAAGATTGTAGACGCATCCACGGTACCTAAAGGAGAAAATTTGTTCTTATGTGGGCCAACTTATTATTAAACAGACAAATCAATAGATAATATTTGAAACAAAGGAAGCCGATGGGTTTCCGAGGTTGCCTTGCCGGCCTACTTTCTGATGCTGTAACCGTAATAATTTAAGGGTTACGTCCAGTGTATTGCGATGTTACTGTTTGCACTCGTAATACACATAGCATGAGAATGTACTGTGATGCGAGACTAATTGTATTTCTAAATTACCTACTTTTTGTATAAACGAAATCGTGCCACGGTTTTCAAAAACAAAAAAATCTGTGTGCCTACTGCCTATTATGATATAACGTGCCATAATCAGTGATTAATCTACAAATATTTGTTGGGCGGTTCTTGTGTTGCAATTTGATGGGCGCAGCTCAGACCTTTTTCCTTATTAGAATAACTAATATATAAGGATTAATTGCCGTAGTTTCACTCACTGCTCACTTATTAATCGTAAGGTGATGTTTAATAAGACCCTAAAACATGGTACTTATAAGTGAAAGAATTTTGGAAATCCGACCAAAACGGTTCTAAATATTACCTACCCCCTTACATGCAAATGTACTTACAATTACATTTCAATTATGTCTCAGTAGGTACCACCAAGTCCCATGTCTGTAATAGGAATGTAGTAAAGAGGTAAAGTAAGCTTAAATACCTAATAAAAAGAAATTGAAAAAAAAAAAACATTGTTCGCAAAATGTGTTCATAAGCGCAACGCCTGTACTAATTTGGCAATTAATTTTTTGTAGTGTTTGGTGAGTCAGGCTAGCCACTCGTGTGATGCAGTGGATGGCGGGCCCATAGTTAACAAAAAAGTCATAAAACTCTAAACGGGTAGATTCAAAACAGCCAATAGCCCACCACCCACGTGGTCCTACAGTGCTGATGTTCAGCCGGGGTTGCGGGGCAAGCACAATGAGGCACCACGGACTCGGCCTAGAGCAGGAGAAGGACCAGGGCTTTTTAATCATAAGAGACAGACACTCCCTCCTCAAATAAAAGTCATTTGATGATTTTCCCTTTAGAAAAAAAAACGATTCGACACAAAAAAAAACTATATTATTAGATACTACTAACCACAAACAACCAATGCGTCACCAGTTTATAAGATAAGATCGTTTATGTTATCTATGGCGTGACGTTGATTTAAATTAAAATATTCAAATAATATTTAGGTTTAACCTATTCTCAACTTTCAAAATAACAACAAACGTTATGTTTTGTTTTCGCTCGGTCTTTATACTAACCTTATGGAAATACCCCGTGGAAATACCAAACGGGATGCAGACGCTTAAATTATGCATGGAATCAAATAATAACTTAATTTTATTTGCATCTTTAAAAAAACGAGACACGTAAAATAAAGCAACAATCATTTTCTATACCTATATAAATCTATACCTAGATATTAAGCATATTTAGGTATGTATCTACATACAAACAAAGTACCTAACTTATCATGTAAACCTCTTTGAATCGCGCTTAACAATTTCTTTATTCAGATATTCAGATATATGTAGGTACCTATATATATTTATGTAACTTGAGTGGTAAGTCAAAAACCAGTCTAGATTTTCAAAATTAAAAACTAGACAACGGCCGTCATAATGTCCTTGCTGTGGACTGTGCTGTGCAATAGATAATATTAAGTATTTTAAGCTAGACAGAATGTGAAACTTTAAAGTTCATGATTTCGAAACAAATACTTCACGGTTTTTTATTGCTATTTTGGGAAATTAACTTAAGCGTGGGAGAGTCCAACTTTGGCACGATTGAGTCGGCTCGATCGGAGTGATACCACGGCCTCAAAGAAAACCGGCGTGAAACAACCACACTGTTGTGGTTCGCCGAGTTAGATAGGTTGCCGGATGGCCAATCCCTCCCCCTCCTGATCTCTTCCCAATCCTTAAATATCCAAAACCCTTATTCCTAAAAGACCGGCAACGCACTCGTAACTCCTTTGGTGTTGAGGATGTCCATGGGCGGTGCTGATTGCTTACCATCATTTGCTCGTTTGCTGACCTTTGCCATAAAAAAATATGATTCAATTAAAATTACCGGAAAACGTAGTGTGGGCAGGCGTCCCGCTAGGTGGACCGACGACATCGTCAGAGTCGCGGGGAACCATTGGATGAAGGTGGCAACTTCTCGAGCGACGTGGAGAGCTAAGCCTTTGTCCAGCAATGGACGTCTTCCGGCTGATGGTGATGATGATGATGATGATGCATTAAAATTATATTTTAATTGGAACCTACTTAAGTCAGTATTATCTATGTGTGTCTATACTAATTAAGGAACCACAGGGTCCTGGTCGTAGGCTCAGCACGCGGCGCAAAGCATTCATTCGATTAATGGGTCAACCGACTATTACAGGCAGGGTCCAACAGGGTCGATGTTTAGTCGGAGTTGCAGGACAATCGCAATAAGGTACCGCGGCCTCGGCCTTGAGCAGGAGATGGAACGGGGTTTTTTAGTAAGTAACGGTCTGCCACTCGCTCTTGCTTTACCCTGGGTAAGAGACATCATTAATGATTTTGCCCTCACAAATAAATCCCGGTCGTACGAGGGGCCGAAACCAAATGCATAGAGGCCCTTTAGACAACTTTAACCGTAATGAAATGGCACACAAATCAGCGGCGATTGTAAGTATATAAACGATCACTGTACGCACTTTGGTATTAGACTTGGGAATGGTTGCTAGAATAAGCACCTAGGTTACTGCCAGCTACGTTCTGCAAAGCCAGATCATTTGCATCTGGCATCGCATCCTGGATCACTGACCCACATGCCGCTTACGAACTGCCACCCTCCGAACAGTATCACTGTTCTCGCGACTAAGCCAGTAGTAGAAGAGCTTCACTCCAGCCAGCCAATAAACGCAAGCTGGAGATAAGGAACGGTGACTTCTCCTGAAGCACTCGAGGATGATGGTAAACTGCAGGCTAGCTTATT